GAAATGCACAGCTTAAACTGATTTCCTGCCAGCATGATTAAAACTCGTTGACTTGCAGGTAAAAGTGTTTTGAGCTAATCTGGCACAGAAGGATTCCAAACCTGGCTTTGACAAGAATCACCTGAGATAAGGTAAAACATAGATTGGCAAATGATATTCTGAGTAATACAATGAAAATCATTGTTGTGAGAGCAAGCAATCTCTTTACTAGTTATTTCCCACAATTGCTTAAATGGCATTTAAAGTTCCCAGTATAATTTGGCATTGTTCAAAATAATTCAATTAATTTTACAAAATATTTAATCTAATTTAACCTCAAGGCTTATCTTGCATACATTTAAGACAGCCAGAATTAGTCAGAATGCATCCCATCATGTGTGAACGTTGCCTGCATGAAATGTCCTTGAAACTTTTCTTTCCTGCAGACTAAGCCCTTCTCTCCAAGAGCCCTGCTGGTCATCCTCACCCCGCCCAGCGTGAGCCTCTCTTGCTGTTGTTGGCAATGTGTTTTTGTGTTATTCCTGCAGAGAGGCTGACTCCTTCTCTACTGCATCCTCTGTCAGTGGCATCTTGCTCGTGCTTCTCTGTTTTACTGTTTATGACCCATCAAAGTCCTTATCAGTTGTTCCTATGATTTAGTTTGTTTGTTTGTTTTCTTCCCCATGACAGCGGAGACTGATTCTTTCCCCCTCCCCTAAGATAATAAAACATTTCTGATTTTAACTTTCTCATATTTCACTCCTGTGAGCTGTTCTAAAGATTGTGACAAGCAGAATGAATTCAGCTGGATTTTTCCTCGTATCATGCCCCCTGCTAGATGCATCTCATTTGTATTTGCAAGATCTGGTGCTACAAATAGTCTTGAAACCTGAACAACTGTGGCCCTAGTTCCTTATCCACTATTATACTCTCTGATATCCAAGGCTTGCTGGACCTGTACAGTGTTTACAGCAACATTCCCCTGACTCTTTAGATAACTGTGGGTTCTCCACTGTTTCCCTCATTATAATTCCTAATATGAAGAGCAAACATCACTAGTCATTCAGCAAATTCCCCAACGATTTAATTAACACGAGTTTAAAGTGTTCAGCTACAGGTTCTTCAAAGAAGTTTATGGCTTAATGTGCAGTTACTTAACACACTCCCTATTTACTATAAATGTCAATGACAGCCAGTAAAATTCCTTTTTATTAAAAGTTCTGGGTTTTGCAGTTGTAGATAATGGCAAAAAAAAAAGAGACTGTTTTATAAGAACACCCTATCCTTTTAAAAAGCAACTGTGACTTCATCAAATAAAAACCAGGTAAATTTCTATATTTATTATGTATCTTTGTAGCCCTGACAGCTTTACAGTCTCGTGAAATTAGGGACTTTCACAGCACATTGAAAATGTTGGGCTCCAACCAAAGAAACTTGGAGGTTTCTTTAATAATTTCAAATCAATGAACTTTTGAGGCTCAATAAAACTCTTGAGCAAGCAGTTCATGCCCTTTGACAGCAGTATTTGAGCTCTCAATAGAATGAATGGTACTGTCATCACCTTTGTTGACATATTAGTTTCTCTTCAAGCTAAATTTTTAAAGAAAAAAAAAACCTCAGAAGCTCTCATTGTAACAGCAAGCTTAGCAAAATAGCAGCTTGCAAATTTATGGTCCGTTCAGGTATTGAGAACTGTTGCTCAGGTACAAACAACAGCCACTCTGCCCAGTTTAATCTGTTCCAGGGGCTGCATCAGCAAAAGAGGAGAGGACCACTGGTGGTAGTCCAGGCTGGCACTGAGGACATTAATCAAAGAAGTGCCAGGACAATTAAAAAAGACTTTAAAGCACTGGGCCGGTCAGTTCAAGGAACAGGAGCACAGGTGATATTTGCCTCAGTTCCTGTACTATCTGGGATAGATGAGGAGTTAAATAAAGAGAGGAGTGAAAAAGCCCAACTCCTAAACAGATGGCTAAAGGATTATTG